AACCAGTTGTTTCAGGCCCAGCAAGTCCTGCAGAAGTGGGTTTCTCTTTCCCGTCTGTTCCAGCAAATTTCTCAGGTAGGGTCCTCACTGGCCAGGCCTGGGTCATTTTATTGCCCATATTATTAAGCCCATAAGCCAGATGGTCTGAGAGAGGGCACAGAAAGATGCCCAGAGGAAGCCCGGAGTTTGTGTTACCCGCAGGAGGAGGACGGGAGGCAGGGTGGGCAGAGACACAGAGGCCCCGTGAGGATGGACTCTGTCTAAGTCACTGATATTTGGCTAGACCGGGACTCCTTCCCAAATTGGGGACACAAGAAAGAAGGCTCCTGTGGTTGGTCCTGCAGGTCACTCTCCATTTCAGGTGCAGTGTTGGGCCCGACATGGCTGCGGGAGGCGCAGGGGCATTTCAGCTGCCCTGCCTTGCGGGCAGTCCCGTCCCCACTCCCCCACCTCGGTTCACTTATTCGGAAGAGCGGTATGTTTGTCTCCGCCTCACAGCCAGAGAAAAAATTTCCTCTAAAACCAGCACATTCTGTGGTTTTTCCTGGTAGAGAGGAAAACCTCTTTACTTCCTTACTTGACAACTGATCTGACAGCTGTGTGGGGGGCACTTGCCATAGGAAAGCAGAGGCGCTGACGTAGCCCGGGAGAGGGTATTATCCACATCACCGCTAAGCTTCTGGCCGCCAACGGGTTTACAAACGCCTGGTGTATACAACTGTGTCTCTGCTCAACCCAATCTAAGGAACTAGCTCCTAGGGCAGAACTTGCAGGGGACTCCAGAGATGCACTGGAGGGACCAAGGCTCTGCGCTGTGACCTGGCCTCAGAGCTCTCGTACCCCTGATCTTGCTTCTGGGAGGAGATTGTGCGAACCCCAACCCACCTCTGGAGACAACAGGGCCTGATGGCAGCCTGTCCCCCTACCCCCATTAGAGACATGCATTCCTGCCACCCCCCAGGAGATGGTGGGTGTCCTCAGCTGTGAGACCTCAGACCAAGTTTCTGAAGCTCACTAGGCCTCAGGCCCCTCAGCTTTAAAAGGAAGAAGTATTCTGGTTGGTAGAATTGTCTAAGGGACGAATGAGATTATTGATATAAAAGATGCAGTACTTAGTAAGCATTCAATAAATATGTATTTCCTTCCCACAGATGTGAACCAAGTTCAAAGGAGTAGCCTCTGCTATGGTGGAGATAGGCATTAAAGAGGTTAAAATAATGGAGGGGTCTCAGGAGAGGGGAAGCAGGAACTAACTGCCTCAATCTACATTCCCTTTCTTTCTAGTTGGCACCTTGCCATCAGCACCAGACTGCATCTCCCAGCTTTCCTTGCCCCTGCAGAGGCATGACATTAAGGTCTGGCCAGTGGAGTATAATCAGAAGTGATGTTTGTAATCTCTGGGTTTTGCATTTCAGAGAATGAAGGTGTCCTCTACTTCCTTTCTTCTTTTCTTTCTGAAGGCAGGGATGTGGTCATGATGACCAGAGCAGCAGCAGCTCTTTTGGATCATGAGGTAGAATCTGTGGACAGAGAAGAGCAGAGCATGAATAAAAGGAGCCTGGGTCTCCCAGGCTGCCTTACCAGCCCTGCACAGCTTATTCTTGAAGAGTTATATAAGAAACGGTCTCATGGTTTTCTTGTTTGAGCCACTGTCACCTTGGAGTCATAGCTGGTTTCTTAACTAACACAAGGCTTTCAGGCTGCAGTCCAGGGTCTGGACTCAGGAAGATCTAGTGCAGGTCCTTTCTGAACTTTTGCTTCTTCATGTGTAAATAAAATAGTAGATATAAAATATTAACATAGATATCGAACATGGCAGCTACTACTGTTTCTGCAGGTCCTCTATGCATTTATTGACCTGAAGTCACAAATATCCTGATGCTGCAGAAGCTAGAGTTACACAAAACAGAACCCTCTAACTACCTCAGAAAGTTGAGAACTGTGGCCTTCAGAACTATCAGAAAGTTCTCATGTAGGTGGACCCTGTTCAATGTTCCAAGATGGTAAAAAAAGAAAGTTTTCAGCAGAACAAATTCCGTACAGGCCTCAGTAAGAGTCACGTCAGCACACGGAGCCGCCTCTCCTCTCCAGCAGGCTGATCCTCACAGTGATCACTTTCCTGTAAAAAGGCAGTTCTCTAGGAGAATTTTTAGATCACGCAGCACATTTTAGAACGTCTTCCCTCCAAATGCAAACCTCTATCCTGGCACAGCCCGGGAGCAGGGTTTCAGATGAAGCTCGTGGGAATGTTTGTATTGTTGAGTCTTTTTCTATTTCTCAATTCTTGGAAATTCCCCACCACATGATCAAAACTGCTGCCCGGTTACACCAGCTTTCGTGTGCCTCTTTGCCTCATATCTTCTCCTGCTCACACATGGTTTTCAGGCCTTCCTGCATTCGGCCAAACTAGGGCTTCCACAGCAGTGGGTGCTGAACACCTACTGTGTGCCAGGCACTGTGCTGGGCATCAAGGATACCACCAGAAACAAGGCAGACACAGCACTGCTTACCCCAGTCTCTCCCCCACCCCCAGCTCAAGGGCAGGAGACAGGTAAGGCAGACTGTAGCTCAGGGTGCTGGAGGCTCCCAGACAGCAAGTCCAGGCTGCTGGACAACCAGAGGAGGGGCTCATAACCCCCTAGGGAGTCAGAGAGGGCTTTTCCGAAGAAGTGACGTCTACACTGAGGCCAAAAGGATGAATGGGAAACAGTCCAGAGAAGGTAGATGGGAGTGAGGAAGGGTCTTCTGGCAGATTGTATCAGTTAGCTTACGCTGCTTGACCAATAGCTCCAAAACCCCATGGCTTAAAACACACCATGCATTGCTGCTTGTGACTCTGTGGGTCAGCTGGGCAGTCCTGGGTCCAGACCACGCTTGGTTGATCTCTACTGGGCTGATTCAAGCATGTGTGGTTAACTGGAGGGTTGGCTGTTGGCTGGGTGATGGCGTGTGAGCTTCTCAGCATCCATCAGGCTAGCCAGGGCTTGTTCACGTGGCAAAGGGATGAGCATACCATCACTTCCACCACCTTCTGTTGGTCAGAGCAAGTCACAAAGGCCAGCACAGATTTTAGGAGTGTAGGAGGACCTGCAAAGTTAGAGTGCAAATGTGGACAGGGATGAAAAATTGGGGCCATTTCTGCACCAGCCTAATCTATACATGCAGAAGAAACAGCCCAGATCTCAGTACCTAGTCCAGTCAAAGAGCAACTGTGTGACCAGTCTGTGGGGCAAGGAGGCTCCTTTTGGAAGGTCAAACCTTCAACCCTAGGCAGTGGGGAGTCATGAAGAGTACTAGGCAGGGGAGTGATATCTGATTTCACTTTGGAATACTTTGATGACCACTGCCTCCCTCAATCCAGACCTCTGGCAGTGGAGAGTCCCTTGGGAAAATTCCAAAAATAGACTATAGCGAGAAAAATTAAATCTCTTTTAAACCCAGCCCCTCCAAATCCTGTGCCTTCCTCAGAGGTAAGCCCTGCTATTACCTTGGTGCAAATCTTTTCAGACCTTTTGTGCCTTCAACACACATAGACACACACACACACACACACACACACACACACACACACACACACACAAGTTCTGTCTTCTCAGGAGTGGAGAGCATATTTCTCAGGTATATTCTGGCTCATTCATTTCCACTGCTGTGTTCTGTTCCACCATATGAATAAACTACCGTTTATTTGTCCATTTTCCTCCTAATGGGCATTTAGGTTACTTTGAAGTTTTGCTAAGATTGCAGTAGGCACCCTTGTATATCAACACGAGAGTTTCTCTGACTCATACCTAGAGTGACATGGGTGGGATGTGGCGTGAGTCCATCTTTAGCTGTATTAGACATTACTGAATTGCTTTCTGAAGTGGCTCCCGACTTACCCTCCTAATGGTTATGCATTTCTTCGTGTCCTGGGCACTCAGCATTGATAGACATTTAAATATTTGTTATTCTACTGGGTGTGAAATACAACCTCATCTTTGTTGTAATCCACCTCATCATTGTAAATGGCTGCAGAGTATTCTACAGTAAGGGAGTAATTTAGCCAGGCCCAAGTGATTCACTTGGGACTTAGTTCTATTTTACTTTCTTTTCCTAACTAATGCACTTCTAGGACAGAGAAATGGAGTTGCTGGGCTCAAGGGAAAACCTTTCCAAAGTGGGCTGCACCTCAATTTACACCTCTGGCAGAGGCAGCAAGAGCCTCTGCACCCAGCTTCCTGGATCTTTGTCAACACTTTTCTTCCATTTTTGTCATTTTTATGGGAAAGTAATGTCTCACCATTGTTTCAATTAGAATTTTCCTGAATGCCAAGGAGGTTGAGGATATTTTTCTATGTTTATCAATTGTCTTGGTGAATTGCCTGTATATATATTTGTGTGTGTTAGTGTGTGTCCATTTTCCCAGTGGCCATTGTCATTATTTATGGAGACTTTTGCTAAGCAATTTTATTTTAAAATTGCTCTTTCATGCTGTAAAGATTTCTTTCTTAAAAAACAAAACAAAAGGATGGCCACAGGTTGACTTAGGGGTGTCCGCTTCAGGCAAACCCCACTGGTCGGCCTCCAACTGCTATGCTACCTCTTGAGAAACTGAGGTAAGCAGTGGCCAGGGAACAGGACCAGATGCTGGGTGATGGGATTGGAGGGCTTTGCCTCACAAGCCAGCTGTGCCCAATTCCCCAGCAGTGTCTCCAGCCCTGGTAAGCAGAGGGTGCAGGAGGGGCCAAGCATTTCAGCCCCCATCATTTCACCACAGGGGCTGAGACCCAGAGAAGTCAAGTGACTCATCCAAGGTCACACAGGAGTGGGTGACTAAGCTGGGGTGTCGGCACCCAAGGCAGAGCTGTATAGCCCCATCCAAGCCCTCTCGCCCCAATCAGCAGCTCAGAGCCTCCCACCCCAATCAGGAGCTAATTGGAGTCATGGGGCCTGGCCACTGGTATATAAGACGATCAGGCCAGCCTGGCAGCCCCACGTCTGCATCTGTGTCTGCCTGTGCAATGGCTCCCGGGAGTGTGACCTCCAGTGATACCTTGACCTCCTCAGCCTCCCTAACCTCCATGACCTCCACATCTGAGTGGTCTGGGACTCAAAAGCCAGGTGAGCAAAGGGAGGCAGCTCCTCCTTCATCTCTGCAAGTTCATTCTCTGGATGTCCGCGACCCTTCTTCCTCCCACCCTCCTCCTCTCCCAGCCTAGCCCCAGCACCCATCCTAGAGGCTGTTGAGTTCAGCAGCCCATTTGGCAGATGCCAGCGGTGGCAGGGGCCAGGCAGGCCCTGAGAGCTGAGGCTGGTCCCGCTCAGGGGCAAAGGGCAGCAGGCCTCCCCAGCTGGAGCCTGTTGTTTTTCAGGGGAAGGCTGGTAGCCCAGCTGCAGCTGCAGGGTGCCTAGTTGAAGGGACTAGGGCAGCAAGTGTTTGACATAAGGCTGGGCTTTGGATTTAGGGCTGCATCCCACTTTTCAATAAACAAGGCCTCAGAGACAGACCTAGTTCATTCCCTCCAGGAGCTCCCAGTCTGACGGGCAAGCCTGCCTCCTTAATGGATGCCACCTAATGATGTGGATGCACTTTAATGGCGGGAACCCAGAGGGCTAAAGGAGCCCAGAGGAGTTGCCTAACCTACTCTGGGAGGTCAGAGAAGGCTTCCAGGAGAAGGTGACCCCTGGAGGAAGGTAATCCTCACCTAGGGGAAAGGGGGTGTGGCAGTAGAATCTTTTTGAGGTTTTTCAAACACTCTTTGGAGGATGGGGTTGGATTCCAGGTGCTTCGACCACACAGGCAGAGCTGCTCACTCTGACTTGGGAAGTCAGGGCAGGTGTTCAAATCACAGTGCTGAGCCTTGCAGGGGCAGGGAAAGCTGCTTGGGTGACGAAGAGGAAGGCCACCCAGACAGAAGGAACAACATAGGCAACGGCCCAGAGGTGGCAGTGCTGGTGGAGCATTTGGGGAATTGCAAGGCTTTCTTCTGGCTGGGGGCAGAGCTGGGAGGAGTACCAGCGAGACTGGGCAGCACAATCAGACTGGGCCTCCCAGACTGTGGCCAGGTGCGCCAGCCCTTATACCAAAGGGAACATGGAGGTGAGGGATGTGAGATGCAGTGGGAATGGCTTGGAAGGAAAAGGAGGCGACAGGGTGGAGGCTGGGCCCTGGGGGTGGAGAGGAGAGGCCAGATGGAGGGAGAGGAGCCTAGGGGCAGGGGTGGAGTGGCTGTGGTAGCGAAGGGGAGGGGGAGTCCAGGGTGTCTCCTGGGTTCTTGCTTGGGTGTCTGGGTAGGTAGGGGGCAGGAGTGAGTTCTGTTTAGACATCCCAGTATTGAATAGCTGCCAAATGAGGAATAAACCCAGCTGGAGGGTCTGGGAGGGAGGAGACTTGGGGGTGGCTCCCTGGGATGGGGCATGGTTTGGGAGAGGCAGGAGAAGGGTTAGGTTACTAAGATGGCAGCCCAGGCCAGGCCTGAGGACCCCTCCGGAAACCCTTTAACAGTGCAGCTGGGGGGGCTCACACCTCTAACTTAGAGGCCCCCATCCCCACTGTACAGATAGGAAGACTAAAGCCCAGAGAGGGGGGCAAAACTCTGAGAGCCTGGGGGTGACTGACTCAGGACCCCACTGATTCACAGGCTTTAGCTCCAAAATGAATAGTCCCCGATACTGGGCTCTTCCTGGCTAGGAGGCAGCAGTGGTCCAATTGGATTAGGTCTCTTCACAACTTTGCTTAAGATCTGCAGTTTGGGGATATATTTATTTTCTACTTTAAATGTATTTTTTTAAAATATATTTTAGCCAATTGATTTTTGTTTGTTTGTTTGTTTATTTATTTATTTATTTTATTTTTGTTACTCCTCACTGGAGGATATTTTTCCATTGATTTTTAGACAGAGGGGCCAGGGATCAAACCCACAACCCAGGTATATGCTCTTGACTGGGAATCAAACCTGAGACCCTTTGGTCAGTGGGCCAATGCTCTAACTGCTGAGCCACACCAGCCAGGGCTAGAGTTGTTTTTCCAAAATAGTATTTCTTTCTTTCCATGAGCCTCCATGGAGCTCCTGGTATATGCCAGCCGCACAGTGGACACTAGGAGACAGTGGCAGGCCAAGCAGCATGTCACAGGCACTGACTCCCCAGGCCCTTTGCCCGCCCACCACGGGGCCCGGCGGTGCCTGATGTGTGCATCACCGAGCATGTTTGTGGTCAGTTGGGCTGAGAGTGGTTTGGGCTCTGGGTGATGTGCTGCTGTCCATCTGCAGGCCCGAGCCACACTGCTGTCCAAGTGCGGCGCCGCCACCCCCCAGTGCTGCGCATGGTGCTGGAGGCACTGCAGGCAGGAGAGCAGCACCGGGGCACCTCGGTGATGGCCATCAAGGTTTACATCCTGCGCAAGTACCCTACGGTCGACGCCATCCGGCTCAAGTACCTGCTGAAGCGGGCCCTGGACACTGGCATGCAGCGTGGCCTCCTCATCAGGCCCATCAACTCCAAGGCTAAGGGGGCCACTGGCAGCTTCAAAGTGAGCCTGCTGGGGGGGGGGGGGATCCGAGGGGCACAGGGTGAGAGAGACTCGGCCAGGGTTTGAACTTCGGTTCCAGCTCTCTCTTCCTGGCCTGTGTGCTTATTCCCCTACAGAGACCTTTCGCTCTGTCTTCTCTTGTTTTTCCTGTGTGTTCTCGGAGACACCCTCTTCTCCAGGAAGGCTGGTGTGTGTGCCTCGGCTGAGTCCCCACTCAGCTCTGGTCACCCTGCTGTGTCCACCTTCATCCCTGTCGGGTGTGTTCAGTGACCAGGGACCATCTCAGCTGTGTTCCCTTCTGCCCACGACCCGTTCCTGAAACTCCTCACCACAGACGAAGCAGGCCAACCTTGGGCTCCAGAAGGTCACACAGTTGGAGTTTGTTCCCCATGCTCTCTGGCTCTAAACCAGGGTCGCAGCTGCCTGAGCACCATGACCCTTTCGAAGGGGAGGGTCCCAGAGAGGGTCAGACTTGTCACAGAATTGAACCCCAGCATCGTGACTGCCAGCTGCCACCATGGAAATCTGAGGGACGCCGGCATGGGGGCTGTCTTGTCCTTACTATGCCCTAGTATGTAGCAGTTGCTCTGACAGTTGCCATGGAACATTCCCAGCCTACTGCATTCCGGTCCCTGTGGTAATCGGTGGCTGAGCACAGGAAGTCCCATCCTTGTAGAACTGGGCGTGGGTCAGAGCTTGGACAGCCATGGCGAGGCCCAGTGCTAGGGTGGGGTGAGGAAGAGCAAGAGAAGGGTTCTGGGGCACGCGTGGCTGGCTTAGGCTGCAGGGTCTGGGAGCAAGCTAGGAAAGTAGGCTGAGGAGATGGGAGGCAGGGAAGGGGCCCTAGGGCACCCATAAAGTTAGGGATGCATGTGTGCTGGGAGTGGGGGTTGTTTCTGGTCTGGGTAGAAATTGGGGAGCCATGAGGGCTTTGGGGTTGGAGAACAACATCATCACAGGTGGGCTCTAGAAGGGCAGGGACCACCTTTTTGCCAGGGGCCCTTGCATCCCCCTGATGCTCATACCCTCTCTGATTGCTCCATTGTAAAGATGGGAAGACTGAGGCTAGTTGGGTCAGAGAAGACTTTACCAAGTTGCACAGCTGGGGAGGCCTGGAGGAAGTTGTAAACTATGGACTATGTGACCTTGAAGTCCATATTCCACTGGTGGGCATAACAGGCGAGGCAGGGAGTTTGGAGACATAAAGGTGAGAGGTGGGGCAGGTTTATTGGGGAACGGGAGAGAGAGTCAGAGCCGCAGTCCATGGGAAGGTGTGGGCAAGAAGGATGCCAAAGGAGGTTCATAACTTAGCCTCTCAGAGGATGGGGTCAGGGCTCACAGTGTGCTCCATTTGCTCCCAGTACCCTGACTTTGAAACTTCCAGATGTGGGGTGGGGGTGGAGCATGTGGCCTCAGGACGTAAGAAGAGTATCTTGGTGAGTCTAGGAGACTCAGGCCCCTAGGCAACAGCCCTCCCTTGTAGTGCAGAGAAAGAATTGAATGCATTACAGGCAGCAGGCATTTGGCAGGTGGCCACGCGTCTTCCCCCCAGGCCCTTGACCACCTCCTTCACCCTCCCTCTTTTCTTTCCTGAGCTTTATGTTGGGAGTGGGGACATGAGCACCCATAACCTCAGCTCTCAATGCCACCCCATTCTCTCCGCTGCCAGTTAGTTCCCAAGCACAAAAAAAAAATCCAGCCCAGGAAGACGTCCACCATTTTGGCCTCCCGGAGACAGGGTGAGGCCAAGGAGGAGGCCCCCAAGAAAGGTGGCCAGACCAAGGATGGAGAGACAAGAGTGGGCAAGGCCAGGAAGGCCCCCCGACAGCCAGACAAGGCCGCAGAGGCCCCTTCTGGTGCCAGCGGGCCCTATGGGAAGTCAAAGGTTAAAGGCAGAAAGAATAGCCCAGGTAGGTATGTGAACGAGGTGAGGAGGGCGTGGGCAGCCGCTGGCTGTGAGAATGGAGGGACTGGTCTGGGGAGGAGGTTACCTATCTGGTACCTGTGCCTGAGCATTAGGCTTGACCTGGACAGACAGAACTCATGGAAGCCGATGGGGGTGGGGAGGGAAAACCTGACTCATCTCTGCGAGGGGTCAGGGAAGGCTTCCTCCAGCAGATAGCCCAGGCAGAAGAGCAGCCTGTGCAAAGGCCTGGGGTCATGAAGAAGGCAAAGCTTTTGAGGAAGTGAAAGTGGTTCTGTGTGCCGTGGGAGATGGGGGAGCAGCGGCTGGGGAAGGCTGGGAAGGGCAGAGTCTGGACTTGATCTGGTGAACAATGAGGAGCATGGAAGGACTCTGAGCAGGGAGCAGCTAGGGTCTCAGGTATTTTTTGGTAATGTATCTCGGCTGCCAGAAGATGGGCTAAAAACTAGAGACTAATAAGCTTGTTAGGGGCCTTTGCTGTGGGTGGGCACAGAGCAAGGTGTCCACCCTGGTGCTTGGCTCAGAGTGAGAGATGGTCCAGTTAATGCTCCAGTGATTGGTGAGGGAGATGCTGTTGTTCCCAGTTAGCAGACTAGAGCAACTCGGCTCAGAGGCTAAACCACTTGCCCCAGGTCAGTAAGTGGCAGAGTGAGGACTAAGGCCTGGGCAGGACAAGGGCTCTGGAGCCCCTAAACCTTCCTGCCCACCAGCAGCTCCTCCTGAAAGGGTTCCTTCCCACATACCCTTCCCCACTTTCCAGGAGATGCCAAGGCCCACAAGAAAACCAAAGCTGGGACTCAGAGTTCAAAATCTACAGTCACTAAGGTAGGTGCCTGTATGACTTCCCTGGTCTGGGTCTTCACCCTGCACAGGCGAGTTTAGGCACCCCCTACCCAGCCCCTGGAAGGGTCAGCTGGGGAAGGGGTCATTTATTTTCTACAAAGCACAGTTTAATTTTTTCTTCTCTACATCCCACCAGCACCCTGAAGATCACCATCCCTATTTTATAAATAAGAGACTGAGGCTTAGAGAGGTGAGGTCACTTGTCCAAAGCCATCCAGAGCTGGGGCTTCAACCGTAAACTTGTGGGCTCAGAGCTATGTACCCCACCTGACCCAGCTTAGTTGCTTTGCTCCTCGGTCTGCTTTCTTACAGGGCGAGAATGGTGTGGTTTCCGCAGCCAAAAAGAAGACTGGGAACAAGGTCCCTAAAGAGGCCACTGCCCAGGGGGCCAGAGAAGGGTCAAAAGCCAAGGCTGCTGCTGCTGCTGCTCCCAAGGACAGTGGATCCAAGACAGTACCAGTACCACTGGCCAGGAAGACAGAGGTCCCCAAGGACCCAAGAAGGCCTGGCATGCCCACCAAGACTTCGTCCTCCAAAGGGACCAGTAAGAAGGCAGAAGCCAAGAGCTAGAGGCGGGTGGGAAGAGACTAAGATTCTGTTGGTGTTTTTATTCCCCTATAAACCATCACTCTATTTATTTCACTGTAACCTATTTATCAATAAAGATTTTTTTTTTCCCTCACAAATTGGTGTGGAAGGAGGCTGAGGCCTAAGGATCTGGCCGCTCCGGGCCAGGGCCCAGCTGGAGGCTCCTGCCCTGGGGGAGACAGACTGTACAGTGCAGAGGGCTGTGCAGGGGTCCGAGGGCACAGCAGAGGTGTTGAACACAGCCTGAGATCGGGAACTGCTTCCTGGAGGAGGCAGCTTTTGGTATTAAAGGATGAACAAGAGTTGCCAGACAGATGAGAGAAAGGGCACTGCAGGCAGAGGGCCCCCAGGGGGCGGAAAGGGGAATTTGCGGCTTTGAGAGGAACATGGCGGGAGGGGTGGCATAAGCCACTGGGCTGTGGGGGATGCGGCAGACTAGGAAAGGTAGACTTTGTCTCAGGGGCAGTGGGGAGCCAGGGAGGTTATAGGCAGGGGAAGGAATGGTGTGTATGTTTAGAAAAAGCCCTCTGGCTGTGGAGAGGAGATCATTCAGCAACTAATTATTGAGCACCACTGTGGGCCCTGCTCTAATCAACAGAAAGAAGAGAAAGTGTGAAGGCCCTAAGGTGGGAACATGCTTGGCCGGCTGACCCATGTGGCTACAGCCCACTGAAAAGAGTGGTAATGGGACATGAAGCCTGAGGTGCTTTAAAAGTGTCTGTGACACTTCCCATGGAGAGGTGGAGTCTGTGTCCTTGGCCTTTGAATCTGGGCCCTGTGATTGCCTGCCCAATGTAATACAATAGAAATGACATTATGACAGTTTTTGAGCCCAGGACTTAAGAGACTGGCAGCTTCTACCTCCTGTGTGTTTTTGAAATTCCCATTCCCTCACTCATCCCCTTTTAGCAACCATCAGTTTTTCTCTATATCAATGGGTCTGCTTTGTTTAGTCATTTGTTTTGACTTTTTAGATTCCACATATAAGTAAAATCATACAGTATTTGTCTTTCTCTAACTCATTGCACTCTCTCTGACTCATTGCACCCTCTAGGCCTATCCACGTTATCATAAATGGTAAGATTTCATTCTATTTTATGGCTGAATAATATTCCATTGTGTGTATATCCCACCCCTTCTTTTTTTTTTTAAAAATACGTTTTATTGACTTTTTTAGAAAGGAAGGGAGAGAGAGAAAGAAACACTGATGTGAGATACATTGATCGGCCTCCTCCTGTAAGGCCCCCAGTGGGAATTGAGCCCACAACCCAGGCATGTGCCCTGACCAGGAATCGAACCAGGACCTCCCAGTCCATGGGGTGACGCTCAAGTCACTGAGCCACACCTGCCGGGCTCTCTCACCCCTTCTTCATTCTTTCATCTACTGATGGACATTTAGGTTGCTTCCATATCCTGGCTATTGTACAAAATGTTGCAATATGTAGGATAGGGGTGCATATATCTTTTTGAATTAGTGTTTTTGTTTTCTTCAAATAAATACCCAGAAATGGAATTGCGGGATCATATGGCAGCAATTTTTAATTTTTTTGAGGCATTGCCATACTGTGTTCTACAGTGGCTTCATCAATATACACTACCAACAATGTACAAGCGTTCCCTTTTCTCCTCACCGTCACTTTTTTGTTGATTTATTGATAACAGCCATTCTGACAGGTGTGAGGTGATATCTCATTGTGGTTTTAATGTGCATTTCCCTAATCAGTGATGATGAACATCTTTTTTAATTCTATTGTCTATATGTCCTCTTTGGAGAAATGTCTATTCAGGTCCTCTGCCCATTTTTTAATTGGAGTGTTTGGTTTTTTGGTGTTAAGTTGTATGAGTTATTTATATATTTTGGATAGTAACCCCTATCGGATGTGTCCCTTTCCTATCAATGTTTCTCTCTCTCTCTTCCTCTCTCTCCCTCCCACTCTATCTGAACAAAAAATGGAAAAATGTCTTCAGGTGAGGATAAAAAACAAAAACAACAAAAAAACTTTTTGTTTGATATAAACTGATTTGTTTATTTTTTCTGTTGTTGCCCTTGTCCAAGGAGACATATCCAAAAAGATATTGCTAAAAGAAATGTCAAAGAGTTTACTGCCTGTATTTTCTTCTAGGAGTTTTATAGTTTCAGGTCTTACATTTAAGACTTTAACCCATTTTGAGTTTATTTTTGTATATAGTGTAAGAAAGTGGTTCAATTTTATTTTTTTGCACATATCTGTCCAGTTTTCCCAATACCACATACTGAAGAGACTCTCTTTATTGTATATCCTTAGCAACTGTCTTAAATTAATTGACCATATAAGTGAGGATTTATTTCTGGCCCTCTATTCTATTTCATTGGTCAATACATCTTTTTTAATGCAAGTACCATGATGATGATTTTTTTGGGTTTGTTATTCAATTTATTGTGGTTACCTAAAACATTGGTTAATAAATCTATACAGGTTTTAGGTATATAGCTTTTACGTATACAACTCTACATCACTATATATTGTATTGTGTCTTTATCACCCCAAGGTACCATGTTCTTTGTTTTTGTTTTTTAATGTATTTATTGATTTTTAGAGAGAGAGGAAGGAAGAGGGAGAAAGGTAGAAACATCGATGAGAGGGTTTTTTTTTCTTTCTTTCTTTTTTCTGCTTCAATTTCATTGCTAGTAATTGGTTTGTTTAGATTTTGTATTTCTTCCAGGTTCAGTCCTGGAAGGTTATATATTTCTAGAAATTTATTTATTTCTTCTAGCTTGTCAAATTTGTTGGCATATAATCATTTGTAGTATTCTTTAATGATTTTTTGTATTTCTGTGGTGTTGTTTGCCACTTGTCTTTCATTTATGATTTTATTTATTTGGGTTCTCTCTTATTTTTCTTGATGAATTTGACTAAATGTTTGTCAATTTTATTGATTTTTTCAAAGAAGCAGTTCTTAGTTTTGTTGATCTTTTCTATTGTTTTCTTAATTTCTATTTCATTTATTTCTGCTTTGATCTTAACTATTTTCTTCCTTCTGTTTACTTTGGGTTTTATTTTTTCTTTTTCTAGTTCCTTTAGGTATAGAGTTACAGTGTTTATTTGGATTATTTTCTTGTTTCTTGAGGTAGACCTGTATAACTATAAACTTCCCTCTTAGGATTCTTTTTGCTACATCCCATAAATTTTGAAAAGTTGTACATTCATTTTTATTTGTTTCAAGATAGTTTTTTATTTCTTGTTTGATTTCCTCTTTGATCCATTGGTTGTTGAGTAGCATGTTGTACAGTCTCCACATATTTGTGGACTTTTCCTGTTTTGGGTTTTTTTTTTTCTGTAGTTGATTTCTAGTTTCATGTCATTGTGTTTGGAAAAGATGCTTGATATGATTTTAATCTTTCTTGAATTTATTGAGGCTTGTTTTGTGACTTGTCCTGGAGAATGTTCCATGTGTACTTGGAGAAAAATATGTACTCTGCAGTTTTGGGATGAAATGTTTTATAGATGTCTATTAAGTGGATCTGATCTAATGTGACATTTAAGGTCATTATTTCCTTATTAACTTTTTGTTCATTATGGATATATGTCCATATATTCACTGATGTGAATGGAGTTTTAAAATTTCTTGCTATTATAGTATTGTGGATTTCTTTCTCCCTTTGTGCCCATTAATAATATTGCTTTATATATTTAGATGCTCCTATGATGCGTACATAGTTATTTACGATTGTTATATCCCCTTTGTGAATTGACCCCTTTATAATTATGCAATCTTTTTTTAAACATATTTTTGTTTTCAAGTCTTTTGTCAGATATGAGTATTGCTACCTCAGCTTTTTTTCATTTCTATTTGCATAGAATATCTTTTTCCATTCCTTTACTTTCAGTCTGTATGTGTCTTTCTATTTGAAGGGAGTCTCTTCTAAGCAGTATATAGATGGATCATGGTATTTAATTCATTCAGCCACCCTATGTCTTTTTATTGGATAATTTAATCCATTTACTTTTAAAGTAATTATTGATAACTATGAACTTATGCCATTTTGTTAATTACTTTTATTTTAGCCCTCACCTGAGGATATTTTTCTATTGATATTTAGTTAGTGTGGAAGGGAGGAAGGGGGGGGGGGAGAGAGAGAGAGAGAGAGAGAGAGAGAGAGAGAGAGAGAAAGAAACATCGCTCTGGCTGGTTTTGCTCAGTGGTTAGAGTGTTGGCCCAGGAACCAATGACTCACAGGTTTGATTCCGGTCAAGAGCATGTACAGCACCTTTATTGCTATTCGTACCTGGCCCTGGTTGGGGTTGTGCGGGAGGCAGCCATTTGATATGTCCCTTTCACACCAATGTCTCTCCCTCTCCCTCTCCCTCTCCCTCTCCCTCTCCCTCTCCCTCTCCCTCTCCCTCTCCCTCTCCCTCTCCCTCTCCCTCTCCCTCTCCCTCTCCCTCCCTCCTACTCTATCTGAACTAAAATGGAAAAATGTCCTTGGGTGAGGATAAAAAAAAAAAAGGTATCAATGTGAGTGAGACACGTGGATTGGTTGCTTCCCGCAAGACCCTGACAGGGGCTGGGGATCAAACCTGTAACTGAGGTACATGCAATTGAACAGAAATCAAACCTGCAATTCTTTGGTCCACAGGCCAACGCTCTAACCACTGAGCAAAACTGGCCAGAGCAACTTTTTGGTTGGTTTTATAGCTCTCCTCTGTTCCTTTCTTCTCTTTCCTTGTGGTTGGCTGGTTTTCTTTACTGTTTTGTTTGGGTTTCTTTCTCTCTCTCTTTTTTTTTTTGGTATACCTTTGTAGATTTTTGGTTTGTGGCTACCCTGAGGTTTATGTATATCTTTCAATATCTATAGCAGTCTATTTTAAGCTGATAGGTGTTTAAATTTGACTATATTCTGTAAGGACTACGTTTTTACTCCTTTCACATTTTATTGATGTCATGTTTTAGATCTTTAAAAAAAAATTTTTCTTTATTGATTTTAGAGAGAGAGGAAGGGA